GAGTGGTGGAAGAGCGTACGGCTGTGTTGCGCTGATCCATGCGAGGCTTTAAGTCTTTGTATACAGAGCATCCCCTATAACTGGCGGTGTGGTTACCTCCGCAATTACTGTATTTATTTACAGCCACATCAGCTTTGATAGCCTTGCAAGAAGCGGAAGCGTGAAGGTCGCCACATTCAACACACACTGGACGCAAAGTACAGTATGTTCTGGTATGCCCAAATTCTTGACAATTTGTGCACTGTACGGGACCGTTTGGCTTGTGCGGCTCCTCCACTGTTATTCTTCGGTGTAGAAGGTATCGTAGGCTGTAGATTGGGTGCACTGCGTTTTTATTCATTGGCTTTGTTTCTGGCTTAAGTTCCACCTTAAACATAAACGCTTTTTGCTCTGTTGATAATATTGACAAGATTTTTAACAGCGAATCCTGCCTTCTCTAGAGCATGAGCAATATCACCAATGGGTACACTTGATTCTATACCTTTTATTACTACTTGCAGTCCTTTGCTGCTTTTGAGCTGGTACTTATACAAGTTTTTCTTATCGTCATTAAGGTGTTTGGTTACCAACCGGTAATTTTCTTCAGTTAGAATCTGAAGTGTGGAGCTAGAGCTGCTTTTATTTTATTGTACGTTGGCACATTTATTTGAATTTCTCGAGGCATTGCGAAAATTCAGAAAAAGTAATTTATAATTATAGGCAAATAAGCAGAAAGCTTGCTACCCAGAGGATACGTGGATATAAATATCCGGACGTTGTGAGCTGCGATTTGAACCGTACGCACAAGAATCGCCGTTTGGGAGCGAGCTAAAGTGAGAAGGCGTAAAACTTCGCGTGCGCTGGGTTTGGGTCCCGCCACGTTAAAACCCCGCCCAATGAAAAATTCCAACAAGCCTCGGATGAGACCCCCTTTTTCTGATGACGACCACGGCAAACGTATAAAGGACTATGATTTAAGGGTATGCACCTGGAATATCCGGACCCTTAATGGGGAAGGTGCCTCTGCCCGGCTGGTTGATGTCCTCGGGAAGACAAAGGCTGACATCACCGCCATCCAAGAAATGCGATGGACGGGGCAAGG